GTCCTGCGTCAACCCAAATCTATTATTCCACTCTGCAGCATGGAAAGTCAGGCACTACCTCCAAATTACTCCCGCAATCCATGTTAATAAAGGCTCCTCAGGGAGGGGACGACCTATAAGATGGCACAGTTTCTTCACACTTTACTCTCTGGTTTCAATCGGTGCTTGGTTTAGCCCTTCCCCCACACTGACTATCTTCTTGGTAACCAAAGTGCTTAGAGGTGCTTTTTTTGGTGCCCTGGCATAACGTTTCCTTTTGTGGGTAGCCTTGAGACTAGTGACCTGAGCTCAGACGGATCCACTCTGAGCTTTGTCCAGCCTCAAGGCCCAACCCAGCAGCATTCTCTCTTTCTTTCATTTTAGCTATTATGGGTAATGAATCAACTCCCCAGGAGTTGAATCCACCTCTAAATTCCACTTGTAATTTTTACCTCTCATAGCGAAGCTCAGCATAGGTGTAGCTCCATATCATGGGTGGTGACCAAATGGCCACCCAGGAATTAAAAGTTTCTCATTCCCCACCTTTCTCTTTCTATCCATTTAGTTTTATCTATATTATTTTTTCCTTTATTTTGAAACAATCTTTAATTAGCCTCTAAACAAGACAAACACTTTATCTTTAAGCGAAAACCACATCTTTATGTGTTTTATAAACTTCTTTACCAAAAACACGTCTTTCTTTATACACTATATAGAGAATTTTTTCTCTTATATCTGCTAGGTTTTGGGGGTTTCTTTGAGTCAGAGTTTCACTCTGTTGCCCAGGTTGGAGTGCAGTGGCACACTCACAGCCACCGCAGCCTTAACCTACTGGGCTCAGGCAATCCTTCCACCTCAGTCTTCCAAGTAGCTGGAACTACAGGTGCGCACTACCACACCCAGATAATTTTTTGATTTATTGTGGAGACAAGGTCTTGCCAAGTTGCCCAAGCTGGTCTCAAACCTCTGAGCTCAGGCAATCCTCTTGCCTCAGTCTCCCAATGCTTACAGGTATGAGCCACTGCATTCACCTTCTGGTAGTTTTCATTACATATATTAACTACAGTTTTAATTTTTAGTAGCCCTAATTTCCAGTGGAAATCCTAGAAGTACTTAATGCAACATGACATGACTTTAAGATTTTAAATTACTGAAAAGAAAAATTTTGAAGCTAGCTTTATTTACCAAAGATTACTAAGATCCATAAACCAAAGGCATTTGAGTTGGTTTCTATTTTTCTGATAAGCACTTACTTTTCTTTAAGCCAATTAATTAGAACTTTCTCATATATTTTGGTAGTGATGTGTGGCATGCATACAACACATATAAATATATAGACATACAGTCACACAAACAGAAGCAGGTTTTATAGATTTGTAAGAGTCTTCATTTGCCAGTTTTAAAATAATTTCTCTTTCCCTCATAGACCCCCAAGAGATCAGGTAACACAGTACAAAAGAGCAGAGTTTTAACCTTGACTGGAATCTGTTGGCTTACAACTCTTGGGATTCCACGAGGAGAAACAGGCTCCTCCCCAAAAGAGGAGTTTGGGGGCCCCTTTCTGTTTTCCCCATAGGATCTCTCATAAATTCCTTTTCTTATGTCCCTCATGTGGCAACAAGAGTGGCAAGAGGAAGGAGCCATAGACAGAAGCAAGAGAAACAGACAGGATTCAGTTGACTGAGAAAGTTTACAGACAGAGAATGGTGTTCATATACAGACCAGATATCAGTTTTAATTAAGTTACCTTTTGATCATAGAGCACTTAAAAAAATATTTTTCCTAACTGTGATTCTCACTCAAGCCATTTTACTTTGCTTCTGCTGTAGGTTTCAAACAGGTGGCTCACCGCCCTCCTCACCATAGTGTGATGGACTTGGCTAACAAGTACTCTAAGCCGGGCTCGGTGGCTCAGCCTGTAATCCTGCGCCTTTGGGAGGCTGAGGTGAGTGGATTGCCTGAGCCCGCGGGTTCGAGACCCGCCTGGGCAGCGAGACCTCATCTCTACAATAAATCAAAAAATCAGCCGGGCGTGGTAGCACATGCCTGTAATTCTGGCTACTCGGAAGGCTGAGACGGAAGGATCGCCGGACCCAGCGGGTCGAGGCTGCG